CCGCCTTGATTTTATAAAAACCGTATTTTTTATTTTTTTGATATCTTTTTTGGTTCAAAAATTATAGCCATTGTAAGTTTTCAGTGGCCCACCCTGTATATATAAAACACAGTTGTGTTGGTGTGTGAGCACTTATAACTCGAGAACCGCTGGACTGATTTTTAGGATTTTTGCTTTATTGGATTTGTCTAACATAATAAATCGAAAAAATCCAAAAAAAAAACAAAAAAAAAATTATCTATTTTACTTATTTATGAAAAAAACTCACTAAGCCCGCATACGGCGCTATCTCTTATAACCGATACCAAGTTTACCGTCACATTTTCATTGCAAACCATGTGGATTTTATTGTCACACACTTCGCACAAAAACAAGTTGAGGAAAGCACTTTATTTTTAATTGTTCTTCACAGTAAAAATGTCCAAAAATAAATAGAATGACAATGTTTTAATTGTGTACACTTGGCCAAACATAAAACTGGTACAAGCAATATATATTTTTATTTTTAACCATATATGAAATGTTGTCATTACTGACTTTTCAAAAATTTGAAAATGTCACATTTCTGTCTTTTCATTTTCCTGCTCCATTACCTGTCCCAGGACGGGAAGTGAGGACGGGAATTTTTTTCCGTCCTCATTTCCCGTCCACGGACGGAAAATGGAGCAGGGAAATATTTCCCGTTCTCATTTTCCTCTTCATTTGCCGACCTCATTTGGTTGCCCCAAATTTATTTTTTTTCAAGAAATTATGGTTAAAAATAAAATAGTATACAAACCTCGAGGTTCAGTTTATCTCGACGCTACGCGTCTCGATAAACTATAAAACCTCTCGACCAGTAATGAAGCATTTCCCGTCTCGGATTGTAATATACTATTTAAATTTGCCTAGTGTGAGTCAGGCTTAACAACAAAAAGTCTATTCTGAAAAACTTAGTTCAGACAGTTTTTGTCAACATCAAACCTAAACAAAAGTGAATGCAACATGTTTTTATGTTATGATTGGTTTAAATATGACACTGACTTGACTCTTTTTGTCATTGTTGAGGTCATAAAAAGGCCGATTTACACAATACAACACAATTGGAAAATGCGTACCAGTTTTATGTTTGGCCAAGTGTATTTTATTTTGTTGTTGGTTCGTTCATTCCGAAAGAGCGCGAACTGGTCTCCCTGTCATTTCTTGACGCTTGACCATTGACGTTCTGTGGCTAAGTTCCGTTTCTCCTCTTAGGAATCACTTGACAGCCGTGCTCCGTGCCGACTGTTCGGAGTGCTCCGTCCGGCTGGTGTCGAGTAGCAGAGAGCCAGGTTATGAGTCCGCCACAACCATTTTGTATACGGCGCCATATATGATAGGTACCTAGAACGAAGCTCACCGCGGTAATTTCATTGCAGATACAGTAGAACAGAATACTGCTAACGAACTGGAGCTATTATGAACAGAACTATTCCACTATTCCGATCAGATAAAGTGGTGCAGAAAGAGTAGATCAGATAGAATAGTGCAGATACAGTAGAACAGATGGAGTATTGCAGTGCATGCAGTGCAGATAAAATGAAACAGGGCTGCGCTGGAGATTTTTTTTGTTTTCTTTACATTTTTTGAACATTCCTGTGCCTGAGTTCATTTATTTGGTGGTACACTTTATAAGAATAATGCCCACAAGATGCCTAAAAAGGGATGATGTAAAATTTTAATTTTAGGTGACTTCTGATCCAGAGAGTAAAAATTAATTTTCATCAAGTAAAGCCAAATTCACCATCGAAAAAAACTGAATTCAATTCAGTAAATAGATACGTTAACAGAACATTTAATAGGTATTTAATAATTCAGAGGAGGTACGAAGTTCGCTGGGTCAGCTAGTTCCAAATATATTTCATGTACAGGGTGGGCCAATTTGGATACTTTCTTATGGAAACACCCTTTATTTTTAGAGATAGAAAAAAATGAACCCCCCACTCTGAGGCTCAAATTTCATGAAATTTTGATTGGTGCAAACCGCATTTTGATATCTTAAACCGTTTAGCCGGTAGAGGGCGATTCTCGATTTTGAGCAATAATGTGAAACCATCATAACGTTTTTGTTTATGAAAATTATTGATTTCCGTAAAAACTTTCTTGAAGCACTTTTTCAAGCAGAATTCAGCGAGGCTCTCAGTTTTTTTCTAGTTGGTCCCAACGCTGAGATATTGACCAAAGTCTGTTTTTTTTTTCAATAGGACAACCTATATATTAATAGCTCATTAGAAAGCTCTGCTTTTTCTGATTTCGATGATATAAAGTTCGATAGGTTTATCTCTAACAGTTTTCGAGAAAAAAAAATATTTCGGTTTTTTTCATAAGAAGCAAGGTGTAAGAAAAGGAATTTATATCTGTAAGGAAACTGAGAAAGGTCTCTTTCCAACACATTGTTTCTTATGACAAAAACCGAAATATTTTTTTTCTCGAAAACTGTTAGAGATAAACCTATCAAACTTTATATCATTGAAATCGGAAAAAGCAGAGCTTTCTAATGAGCTATTAATATATAGGGTGTCCTATTGAAAAAACCCAGACTTTGGTCAATATCTCGACGTTGGGACCAACTAGAAAAAAACTGAGAACGTTACTGAATTCTGCTTGAAAAAGTGCGTCAAGAAAGTTTTTACGGAAATCAATAATTTCCATAAACAAAAAAGTTATGATGGTTTCACATTATTGCTCAAAATCGAGAATCGCCCTCTATAGTCTGGGAGTTAACGACATATCTCATTGTACCATTTCCGCAAGCTTCATTCTTTTTGTATATGTTATGCGTGTAGTATATGATAGTAATATGATCGTCTGCCGGCGCACCAACACGACAGGGGGTTACAGGAGGGTTTCAATTACAGCAAAAAATAAACGAAAAAAATTTATAGCCGCATAAGCGAAACTTATTGTACATATTGGTAGAAACTTAGAAAGCTCAGAAAATATGGTCTGCCACATAAATTCCACGACAAAAGTCGTCTGCCACCCACATAAGTGAAAAATTTAAAGAAAAAATATACCCGCACGGCTGAAGTTAATTATTTTCACAGTGAGTTTGACAAGTGTCAAAAAGAGAAAATAAATATTCCAGGTGAAAATTTTCATTTCCATTTTGAGTGTATCCTCCTATAATGTCTTTAAGAACTCTAGAACATTAGATTTGAGCTTTTCACAATTCATTTTGGTTAGCCTTACAAAAAAATAAAAAAATAAACATGAATAAGAAAAAAATGCAGCGTCCTAGCGGTGGTGCTCGGGCACTGCATGCCGAACCCAAGTTCATAGGCTTGGCAGACGATCTTCGTTGTATCTTATTCGTGGCAGACTATTATGTTTGTGTTTCTTTCCATAAAAAGAAGTTTTTTAATTAATTTCAGCCTTACGAGTATATTTTTTGTTCTAAATTTTTTTTTCCGCTTAATTATGTGGGTGGCAGACGACTTTTGTTGTGGAATTTAGGTGGCAGACCATATTTTCTGAGCTTTCTATGCTTCTACCAATATGTACAATAAGTTTCGCTTATGCGGCTTTAAGTTTTTTTCGTTCATTTTTTGCTGTTATTGTAACCCTCCTGTAACCCCCTGTCGTGTTGGTGCGCCGGCAGACGTTCATATTACTATCATATACTACACGCATAACACATACAAAAAAAATGAAGCTTGCGAAAATGGTACAATGAAATATGTCGTTAACTCCCGGACTACTACCGGCTAAACGGTTGAAGATATCAAAATGCGGTTTGCACCAATCAAAATTTCATAAAATTTGAGCCTCAGAGTGGGGGGTTCATTTTTTTCTATCTCTAAAAATAAAGGGTGTTTCCATAAGAAAGTGTCCAAATTGGCCCACCCTGTACAATGTCATATACAGCCTGTCAAAGTTGCAAAAAAAATCAATTTTCAATAGTCAGTTTCCGAAACAGTTGAAGATAGCTATATGACATTGTAAATGAAATATGTCTAGAATTTTCCGCAGAATCTAGAAATGTCATAACATACACACTTTTGTACTCTGTACTAGTACTAGTTAACCCGTAACTGGTGAGGTGGGGTTTCGCAAACCCCACAGATTTTGAGAATCTTTACCACGTATTAACTAATGGTTAGAGGCCCGCTACCGCCTGTGTAGCTTTCGGACCGTCGTCCGTCAGTACCCTAACGGTGTCAACAACGCGCGATATTTTACTTGGTGTGCGATATTACGATTTTTGTACAAATTGGGGTTTGCGTAACCCCACCTCACTGTGAGTCCTTTGTGTTAGTTTGGGTTAATTGCTCTCCAAAAAGCTTACTTGAAATACAATTTTGCTAAAACTTTGTTCCTTGAATGTTTTTCAAAGACTTTCAGACATTTTTTCGCCATTTTGTATTTTCTATGCTACATTTTCAGTTTGATTACTTCTAGCAAGTAGAAATGAGTTTTGATGTGTGTTTTGTGCAGTCGCACAGAAAAATTTAATTATTCCCAAAATATATATTTTTTTTTTTGTTGAAAATATGTAGGTACCTACGTTCCAAAAGGAAAAATGTTACCCAAAAGTGAATAACATACGCGTTTTTTTATTTTGAATTAGCAGAATCGCCTTTTTCATTTGGGGTTTAGCAAACCCCACCTCACCGGTTATGTAACAAAAACCTCACCAGTTACGGGTTAATTATTATACTTCTTATCAGGTCCGATTTTGATGAAACAAGTGCTAACGATATTTAAATTTATAATACTATTTACTTATTTTTTATTTCAATTTTGAAGGGTGGGCAAAAAAGTTCTTGGGCACATGGGCAAACGAACAACGTATATGTTTTTCCAAATTTTGTTGGTGGGGGTGACCCCGTCACAGAGCTGGTTATCATAGTTCTATGGTCAGAATCTAGCATCTCTTTCGATAAAGTATCTTAGAAACTTTAAATTAGGTCCTAAATCTTCAAAAATTCTGTACGTGATTTGAAAATTGAGGATAATAATGAATCTACTTTTCTATTTAGGTAGCCTGGTTAAGGGTTGATACCCAAACTATCTTGACCATACACAATCACGTCATAACGAAAAACCATCGCATTGCTGTCACTCACACCGAACATCGGAACTGGTATTTGCACATTCGCGACGTCAGGGAAACTGATATGGGATGGTATATGTGTCAAATAAACACTGACCCAATGAAAAGCCAAGTCGGATATTTGAACGTCGTAGGTAAGTTTTGTTCGATCTTGTAGCTAATTTGAGTATTCTATCAAATAACCCAGGTAAGCATTTATCCATGATATAAATGTAAATTAATGATCCATACTAAATTTACGATTTTCTCAATTATTATTCCTATAATATTTTCTATCAGTGTGTATCAGCCAAATGGAATAAATTCGATAATAAATAAATGGGGCACTTTTCGAAAAAACGTTCGAACACGTCAATTTTGTTTTTTTGCTTGAGATTTTTCCATATCAATTTTTTTATACAGGGTGTTCAGAACACAGTTGTACCGTTATCAACTTTAGTTTTTTTAATGGTACCACCTGTATATTATGACATTTCTGGATTTTAAGGAAAATTCTAGACATATTTCATGTACAATGTCATATACCTATCTTCAACTGTTTCGGAAATATTGACAGTTGAAAATTGACTTCTTTGCATTTTGGACAGACTGTAAAACCTGAACGGTTAATTTTACAGCAAAACCGATCATACATTCTCTCAGTTTTTTATAAACTATCATTTGACACCAACTTTGAATTTAATCCATGATTTAAAATTTCGCTCAAATTATTAATCTCCGGTTAAATCCAAATTTGCTGTCAACTGATAGCTTATGAACATCTAGGGTAGGAATGTGAAATCGGTTTTGCTGTAAAATCAACCGTTCAGGTTTTACAGTCTGTCAAAGATGCAAAATAGTCAATTTTCAACTGTCAATATTTCCGAAACAGTTAAAGATGAAATATGTCTAGAATTTTCCACAGAATCCAGAAATGACATAATATACAGGGGGTACCATTAAAAAAACTAAAAATGATAACGGTACAGCTGTTTTCGGAACACCCTGTATAAAAAAATTGTTGTGAAAAAATTCCAAGCAAAAAAACAAAATTGACGTGTTCGAGCGTTTTTCGAGAAGTTTCCCATTTATTTATTATCGAATTTATTCCATTTGGCTGATACACACTGTATACAGGTCTGGCAAGTCAACATCTTACGGGCTAAATTTAATGCAATAGAATGAGATGTCTAGAAGAAGTCTAAAGTTAAATATAGAACGAAAACCTCCACCTCCAGCATTCCCAGCGCTCCATGCTGATCCCTTATTCTTGAAACAGGGTAGCAGCGTTCCCAGGAGAACGAGTGTTCCATCTCTCTCAATGATATGCAAATGATAATATAAGAACTTAACAAAAACGTAACACTCGTTCTCCTGGGAACGCTGCACCCCTGTTTCAAGGAAAAGGACTTTTTATTAAACTATTAAACTTGGAATAGCATGTACAGGGTGGCCCAAATTCGAGCCTCATCGTTGGGATCTCGGAAACCGCAAGAGATACGAGGTCGGTTAAATTATGGCAAAGTTGCGCAATTTTATGACCAATAGAATGCCGTTTTGAAATTAGAAAGATTCCGAATACTTCTGGAGATATTCGGAAAAAACCGAAATTTTGTAAAATCGTTTTTATTTTTTTCCGGGCTCATTTGAAAAGCAATTTTAGAATAAAGTTCACTTCATCATTGTCACTTCTCCCCTTCTAGAAGATGGTGCTACTAAATTCAAAATCCGACGTTTCGTCTTTAAGCGGCCATCATCAACTTACTTTTTTTAAATACGGACCTGGATTTTTTATTTGCGATGTTGTCATATTTGGGCATCCTAAAACCTATGATGTTTATAATTTTTCAATAACACAATAAAAAAAGCAGGTCCGTATTAAAAAAAAAAAAAAAATGATGATAATTCCAGAGCGTTCCTCTAGATTTTAAATTTATTACGGCCGTCTTGTAGAGAAGAAAAAGTGACAATGAGAATGTGAAATTATTTTTTCAAAATCTTTTCAAATGAAATCTTTCAAAAATTTGAAAAATACTTTTTCTTCTCTACAAGATGACGGTATTAAATTTAAAATCCAACGTTTAGTTCCTCTGGAATCAACATCAATTTATTTTTTTTTAAATACGGACCTGCTTTTTTTATTGTGTAATTGAAAAATTATAAACATTATAGGTTTAAGGATGCCCAAATACGACAAAATCGCAAATAAAAAATCCAGGTCCGTATTTAGAAAAAGTAAGTTGATGATGGTCGCCTGAAGACGAAACGTCGGATTTTAAATTTAGTAGCACCATCTCCTAGAGGGGAAAGAGTGACAATGATGAAGTGACCTTTATTTGAAAATTGCTCTTCAAATAGGCACGGGAAAAAATAAAAACGATTTTACAAAATTTCGGGTTTTTCCGAATATCTCCGGAAGTATTCGGAATCTTTCTAATTCCAAAACGGCATTCTATTGGTCATAAAATTGCGGAACTTTGCCATAATTTAACCGACCCTGTATCTCTTACGGTTTCTGAGATCCCAATTATGAGGCTTGAATTTGGGCCATACTGTACAGGGTGGTCTGAAAATAGAAAAATATATAGGGTGTTTCCTAAGTACGCTTCGTAACTTCAAGATGTGATTCCTTACAATATTTAAAGAAAAAAAGTTCCCACAAACATGTGTCCGGAAATGCCAAATTTCTGAGATACAGAGTGGTAGCAGATTTATTTATCTGCCAAATTTATCGAAAATCGATAAAGGGGTTTTTGAGGTTTAGATAAAAAAACAATTTTTTTTAAAAAAAAAACTTTGACACCCTGGTATCTCAGAAATTACGCATTTCGGGACACATGTTTATGGGAATTTTTTTTTCTCAAAATATTGTAAGGAATCACATGCTGAAGTTACGAACCGTACGCAGGTAACACCCTGCATATTTTTATATTTTCTGACCACCCTGTACCGGGTGTTTCACCTAAGGAGGTAACCGGCTATATCTCAGGAAGTAGTAGTCCTAGAGCTTCCAAGTAAAATTTTTTTCTTATAAAAAAGGCCATGAAAAATTGCTGGAAATAGTTTTCAAGTTTGTTAGTTGACCGCTATAGGGGGCGCAACGAACACTCGAAAACATCATACTGTGATTATCTCCAAAAAAGAGCTACTAAACGTATCCTAAAAATATGCTCATTGAAATTTTGATGAGATTACGGAAAAATTTTGTATAGGATTTTTTGGCCTTAAAAAAAAATAATTCCAATTTAAATCCATTATCACTTTGATATTATTCCTTCACGCCTAACAGGTAACAGTCACATGCTCAGATAAGTTATTTACATGCATATTCTTTACTACTATATTTTTGAAAGTTTCTGTAACAAAGTCATTAGTATGTCAACAAGTCCGATAGCTGCAGGTTTTCCTTAGATTTATTTTATTCAGAATGTCTATAGAAAGTACAATATCAGCAAATCATTAATTCTCCCATCCACCGGGGCGTTCTTATTTTCTTTCGTTATAGGTAACACGCTTAACACGAACATCGAATTCCGCTGCTTTTATTTTTATACTGCAGAATAGCATTCTGCATTTTATTATCAGCTATACTGTTTCTACTTTACTCATCGAAATAAAATGAAAATTATTGCATTTATAAAATTCTAAAGCGAACTATACCTATCCTATGGATGACCAATATTTGATGTATGACCATTGCTATAATAACCTGAAAAGTTAAATTAAAAAAAGTTTTCCAAGTTAAGAAAAGTAACGATCATAATATGTTGTGAGGCGTTTTAGTTGCGTAATCGGCGCGGATTAAGTGCACGGCGATTTATATAACGGTTTGCCTCGAGCGCCACCCTCAGGATTAAAGTGATTGAGGGCCCACGGGCACCAGGTAGATTGTTACAGTAAAGTAACAGTGACCCAGGAGTCAAAATAGATGCTGGACCAAGTTCTGCCAATTCTCTGTAAAATTCCTGAGAAGCTCAAGGTAAGGAAAACACAAGGACAATAAAATTTAAACTCAAAAATTACCTCTGTATTACAGTAAGTTATTTACAACCAAGCGTGAGGAGTGGGTATGCGGCAACGTGCGATTTGCAAGCGTTAGGGTACCAGCAGTAAAATTTAAAGAACGGTAAAACTTACGGCAGGATTATTAGTAGCCCGGAAGCAAAAACGCAAAATATACCATTATATAGTCAATAGTGCGATTTTCCCTGCTCTGATTGGTCGAGACCAAACACTGGTACGTTTTGCTAAAAGTGACTAAAACGCGGTACATTTTGCCATAGCATCTTCCGTAAACCTCGGTCGGATCAAACGCGGGTACGTTTTGCCAAACTTCACTTAAACGTGGTGCATTATGCCTTAGACCGAATAGCAACCCTTTCACGTGCTCTAATGAAAATCCTATAGCTGCACTGCAATTATTATAAGGGTATTATTAAACATGTAATGAGGATAATAAATGTCTGTATGTTTTTGTTTGAGGTGAATTGTTAGTAATACCTTGCATTTTTTGGGATTACACCTCCATGGATTTTGTTTTTTTCTTCCTGGTGAAAATCTCCATTGAGGTGTAATCCCAAAAAATGCAAGGTAATGCTATAATGAGGATATGTTATAAATACCTATAATAAAATGGGATAGATGGCTGTTAGCGTAGGTATACAAATAAAGCTATTATGGGATTTTTGCAAATATACACGATGGTATAAGCAAAGTCCGATATTGAGGTTCACGTGAAAGCTTTCAATAAATGTGATTGTTAGTGTTTTCGGTATGTATTACATAAATTTTGCAAATTTAAACACATTGTATCCTGTAACTTGTATCTTGTAAAAGGGGCATTTGCGGACTATAATCAGTCAGATCGACATTTTAGGGGTATCGGACTCCCCCAATTTGCCATTATTTTTGTCGGCCAAGTTAATTTCCGTGATTTAGACATAAAAATCAAACATTATTCGTAAAATTAGATTTACATGTATCAAGAAACATAACCTCGTCAGATTGACATTTTGGGGGTGTCGGACTCCCCCAATTTGCCATTATTTTTGTCGGCCAAGTTGATTTCCGTGGTTTAGACATAAAAATCAAACAGTATTCGTAAAATTAGATTTACATGTATCAGGAAACATAGCTACGTCAGATCGACATGTTT